AAGGCTTTCAGCTTTGAATTTACGTATGGGGTGGGTTTCCACCACTCGTAAATCAAAATTCGTATACACAGAACTCATCTGCAGCGACTGCATCGGTTCAATTTCATCGTTAATAAAACTTTGCTCCCTTGGAAGTCTATGCGGGAATATATCATTCCAACATGCACTATCAATATGCTTTCATCGTTGTCCACGTAATTTAAAACTTCTCTAACGCAATACACACACACGCAGAGACAGTCGCGGTAAAAAGCTCGAAAACCGATAGCCCCAGTCGGGCGAGTTTTAAATTTCCAAAGCGCTTAAATGCAACAACTGCAATAAAACGGAATGTAAGTACAAGATTAAAACTGGCGCAATAAAAACGCCCCTGTATTTAAAATACTTGCACACAAAAAACAGTTGAAATATGCTCGAATATAAGTTTAAAATTCGCGCTGAAACTGCCGGAACTGAGATAAGGCGGTTATAAACAACTGAGCGTCGAGCATCGCACCCAGCGACCCTACGAGAGAAGATAAGCGATAAGCGTAATCGGACACATTATTTACCCCCGAAGCTTTTTATTTTATTTCAGGGTTCAGGTGCAAGGCGTGATGAAATAGGCTGAAGAGACGTAAATTTTAACCGAACTTTAAATTACCCACCGCTCCGAATGTTCGTCGTGAATGTGCGGGGGGGGGGTTGTGTCGATACAAAAAAATTAAATAAAAGTAGTCGCGGTTAATTATAAATTTATAACTGGACGTTTTTACACCCCATTTAGTAATTAAATTTAATTAGTCCCCAAAGCGCGCCACTTCTAAAACGCAAAATTACATTTTTTTCTTTCGTCTTACATTTTTGCTTAGGAAAATTATGCACATTTTTATTCTTTTCCTTTGCATTTACATTCTTCGAATATCATCGTTTCGCAGTTACTTTTTGCTTATTTTCCTCCGAAACTCATAAAATTATTCAGTGTAGCGATTCACGGTAGGTACTTCTGTTCATTGCGAAATGTTCTTTATGCGTTTATTTACTTAGTAAATTGGTTGTAATTTAGAAAAATCTTCCTGCAGGTGTACTTTCCAAATTTGCGCTGTTTCTCTAGCGCCCATTACTTTTCATTATTTGAATAAATGTTGCCGAAGTTTTTATGTAATGTACACTCGAAAACGCATCAATAAGTTTAATAATTAATGAACCAACTTTCAATGTTGGCAAGTGGTGCGAGGAAACCTTATTCAGTTCCGCAAATTAGCTATACCTTTTCTGCTATACGAGATCAAACGATTTTCATTTCCACATTTCTCGATAATGTCGAAACAGAAACGCGAAAATTAATTTTCTTGGAGGCATTTTATTTACCTTATGGATTTGCTGTGAGCTTTTTTAATGCGGGCTATGCAAAAAAAAGATTTTCGTCTTTTGCATTTTCCATGGATTCATTAGTACTTTCCGAAAGGTCATGTAACGAACTATGTACAAGGGAAAATAAGTTATGGTATAAATATTCTTAAAAATAAGAAACTTAGCATTGTGCAGTCTGCGCATCATGTTATAATATGCGATATGTTTGCGTTTATTAGAAGAATCTTGGATTAAAATTTCAAAAAAATATCTATAAATAAGATATTTGACATTGCGCACATTAATCGTCAAGATTATCTTGGTTGAGGTGCCAGAGCTATAAGCTATCGAGTGTAAAAAGAATGAACTGGATATCTTGACAACTGTAGGAATTGTTAGGTCCTCTAGTGGTAACGATACCCGCTACTCGCGCGGAGAGTTTTTTAAAAGCAAGATGGAAACTTGCGTAGCCTTGCTGGTTAAATCAAACCAACGGCAAAATATGTGGAAATCAGTGAATCGCACATAGATTCTCATGCAAAGAGTTTTTGTTAGCAGAATCTCGCCCCCGAGATAGGTAAATCATCCCTCGTCCGGGGTATCCGAGTCTACAGATGAGAGCAATTCAATAACTTCCACATACTACAAAGATTACTACCTGCATTAAATACATACATATAACAAACATTTACAGAACGATGCTTTCGTGACCGCTATTAAACGCAAGATGCCAAACTTCGAGACGACACAGACAGTTTTTCGCATTCTAAAAATTACAATGTTTGCACCCAAAAAATGAATTATCGGGATCAGCAAGTAATTTATCTAACCAAGCAGCGTGACTCAGTTATTGAACTTTCCAAAATGACCCATTTCTGGCTTCAAGTGCCAGTTCAGCCGTGCTGTTAAAATTTCGAGTGTAATTTATTGTCGATGTCTTTTCAATGTCTGAAATTACTTTTTACGCTGATAATACGAGCTAATATAGAAAATCGGTTTAAGC